ATAAATGTATTAATTAATACATATTACAATAAAAATTATAAAGTTCATACATGATTGCAGTTTATAAATTATTAGAAATACTTAAAACCTAATCTGGCTCATTGAATAATGTTTCCAAGTTTTACTAAAAAATTGCCTGAAACTGTTACCAGCTATTTTATTTCAAAATGTTATCAAGAGACGATTATTTACGCAAAAAAATTACAAAAAATTTTTTAGACGCGATTACTAAGTCACGAACAAACTTTACTTTCACAGTGACAAGAAAAAGATTTGGTCATTTCTTTTTTTTAATATTAAACTGGGATGTGTTGCTTGTTTTACTAATCATTTTATGCATTTTGACAAATCGATAAAAATGCCCCATTTTTCTATATAGTTGTACAATTACGTCACACCCTCAGTGACGTCATAAGCCGCAATGTCTTTTTGTTGTATGACAAGGTAGTTTGTAAGTTTTTTTTCTGAATGAATTTATGAATATCAAATTTAGATTTCCGAGATCAATTACAACGATTTATATATGTTCCTTATAGCTAGAGGTGTAAGGTATTAAATTCAATATTTTAAGTTTAAAAAAAAGTTATTTTTCATATAGATACTTATAATCTAGACTCAAGGATCAAGTCTGAGAGAATGTCGAGTTAGAAAAAAACCTACATACGAATCTATTTAAGGGTATTTTACGGAAATGTAATATGTAATATCAAGCAACATTGAATTCACTTTTTGCATCACAAATTCTTTTTCTTATCAATGAAAGAGTAAATTTAAAATGAGCTTATAACGAATAAAACTTACATTTTGCATGTAAAAAAAGGGTAACAGGGAGTAGTTAGTAACTTATCAACACCGTAACAATTATCACATTGAAGTATAGCTGAAAATTCACTTATCGCTTACGACTTAACATATAAGAATTTTACTAATCAATTTCACTTATCAACTACGTGCTTCGTTTAAAATCGACGAGGCGACTAGCATCGTAAAGCTCCCTATGAGGTACAAAGCTGCGGGTATCGACGATAGGAGCTTATACCTTTCCTCTGTAAAGAAAATACGAATTATCATTGTCAAGTTTTGTCTAACCAAAAAAAATCATGAAAATTATGAATCGACTTATCCATTACGCTTTCTACAAATCGCAGTATTGGTTAATGTATCTATAAAATATATTTTTTTATTGCTCAGATAGGTGGACCAGCTCACAGCCCACCTGGTGTTAAGTGGTTACTGGAGCCCATAGACATGTACAACATAAATGCGCCACCCACCTTGAGATATAAGTTCTAAGGTCTCAGTATAGTAACAACGGCTACCCCACCCTTCGAACCGAAACGCATTACTGCTTCACGGCAGAAATAGGCGGGGTGGTGGTACCTACGCGTACGAGCTCACAAGAGGTCCTACCTCTAGTTACAAATTAAAATCTAACCTTGAAAAATAATGCGTGCTATATTATTGTGTCTACATAACTATTGTCTATATGTGTTGTCTATATAGATGTTCGCTTCCATAATTCGTATTTAATTTATTCGTATTAGAATTTAGTGTTTAAATTCTCGTCTCTCGTATGAATTTAATTTTTTCTGGTTTTGCTCAACAATAAACAAAAATTTTAACGAAAATATTGTATTTTAAAGACAAATTGCAAACAAACACATCTCGTTGATACTGAGAGCAAGTATTTCTAAATACGTAAACAAATTGCATCTTATCATTATTATTATGGTGATATTTTACTACAACTACGGGCATTAGTAATTATATTAGTACTGTGTGCTTAGTGTGAGTTTTTTAACGTTATCGATAGCGTAAAAGTTAATTTACATTTGTATGGAGTTGGAACGTTTGCCTACGTTTGCCGCTAGGGGCGCTGTTCCAACTGCATACAAATTTGAGTTAACTTTTACGCTATCGAGAACGTTAAAAAACTCGCACTAATCACACTGGTATTTTCAACCTCAACAAACTAGTCAGTATTTAAAGAGTACGCCTCGGATTAATTCTCACTTAAAATCCAAACAATGAAGGAATTAACAAAGATTCGTGACTAGAAAACTTTAGTCTTTTAGAAATTATGAAGATTGATATGGTTTTTGGAACGAAGTTCCTTATGGGACGATGCGGAGGGGTACCCTAACCGGGAAAAAACGTCCGTAACGTAAGATTATTCATATATGTGTTTCTTTGTATATTATTATTATATATTTTTTATAAATTATTGTGAATATTCATAACTTTGTTAAGTAGTTTTGTTTTTTCTCAATAAAAAAATCATAATAAAAAATGTATACCCGAATAATGATTTTCTTTATACTTCGAATAGAACTTAAAATTAATATTTTTATAATAAATAACTTCGTTCCTATCCGGTGTCCTACGACACCACACATCTTTTTTATATTTGTAATCAGAGTGAGAATACACTACGCTATCGTAGAACTAATCCGATGATTATTGAATGTGGGTAAATAATTGAATGAATAATTAATTAAGCACATCAAGGATCTCATTAGTTTTGTCCTGTGATGTACATTGTAAAATCATCTACATACATCTAACAAGTACAAAGTTGAAATTTCAAAAATATGGTTAGTGACATATCGTCCCAATGAATTATCACATCTTTAAATTTAATTTTAATTTTATACTATGTTTCAGTATGTGTTGTTAATTTGTCTATTGTGTTGTAAATGAGTCTACGAGTGTTTTCGTGTCTTTTTTATTTATTTCTGACTTTTCAAATTTGCGTTCACGCTTTGTTTGTGAATTGTTTTAAAATTATACAAAACATTATGATTCAATTCAATTCCATTTACCACTTGATAGAAGAAATCGTTCGTATTCAGAGGGATATAGGGAGCGAAGTGTTAAAATAGATGCCAATTCTCATTCCAAAACTGCTAAGTAGATACGCATGCTTTATCCATGCAAACATTCACAACCAATTACACTGGTCTTTATATATTTAATGACTCATGCAACGCATGCCAGGAGAAAAAAAAATAGGCCTGATTCAAGATAAATAACCATTTTATTCGACAAACATACTACCAGTCTTATTTTAATGTTAGTAAAGTTGAAAATACATTCTTAAGGAGAGAATTAGAAAAAAATAAATAGTTACAACAGAAATATATCAAGGAAAAGCAATGTCAAAGAAAAAAAAAGTAGAATACATTACAACAAAATATGTAGACAATTATTTCAAAATACATTATATAGACAGTAAATTAACAATTCATGTATGTATTTATTTGCAAAACAAAATACATTTAAGATACTTAGCTTTTTTTTTAACATAATCTTATTTAAAATAAATTATGCTTTAGTTATAAAAAAATAGTACAATCCTTAACAAAAATACTTAATTTGATGTTGTTGTCTTTTTCTTTTTAAACAAGCAATGTATGACCGAATCCCATGTGATTAGTGATGACAAGCTTAATACTAGTAAATTAAATCTGAATTAGAATTCTCCATTTCTTGTTCTTTATTTTTATTCCCTTAAAAACGTTTTAAGCTTAAATACGCAGTCCTTCTATAATCTGCACGTAATTTCCCTAAAAAAAATGTGGTCGTATGTAGCACGCAATGGAACAACATATATCTTAACCTTTCCATCTTAAAGGATTCTTTGCAATTCGATTGGTTCTTTCGAAAAAGAAAACACTAACGAACCGAGCATCAATAGCATTTCGTTCAAAAGTTATCAACACTCAAAATTTATCTATTGAATACACGCAATACTTTTTATTGTTTACAAAAAAAAAAAAAAACAAAAACGTCAAATTCGTTAATTTATTTTTGACTTTCATATTCGCTTATTAGAATGTAAATTGACTAAAGTTAATCAAGGTGCGGCAGAAAGTAAGTACTGGGATAATAAATATATAAATAACTGGGAACAAATCACGCACGGTCATCCGGTTCCGAATTAGGATTCCCTGTATTTTGGATACCTAAGATTGACATATGTATATCGTGTAATAAAAATCAAACCCGCAAAATTATAATTTGCGTAATTACTGGTGGTAGGACATCTTGTGAGTCCGCACGCGTAGGTGCCACTGCCCCGCCTATTTCTGCCGTGAAGCAGTAATGCGTTTCGTTTTGAAGAGCGGGGCAGCCGTTGTAACTATACTGAGACCTTAGAACTTATATCTCAAGATTGGTGGTGCATTTACGTCGTAGAAGTCTATGGGCTCCAGTAACCAGTTAACACCAGGTGGGCTATGAGTTTGTCCACCCATCTAAGCAATAACAAAAATGTATATACGTTTAAATTATATACATATATACATAGTAGACACCCAGACAAAGAGCAAACAAACGTGTTCAACACACAATGTTTGCCCGACGCGGGATTCGAACCCACGACCCTCGGCACAACAGTCAGACCCGCTAACTATTGCACCACCGAGTCAGTCAAGTATTTCAAATACTTCGTTAGTTAATCCAAACTGGCACGCGGATCCGGGTATAAAGAAATAAACCCTCGACCGATAATTACATTTGAAGGTAATATCTAATTCGATCAATTTCGATGCCCAAGAAAACTTTTATTTTTTTGTTTTTGTCAGACTTTGGGGCGTTTTCATCAGAGCAGGTAGTGGGGGAAGAGGTCGACCGAAGAAGACATGGTAGGGTGTGTGAATGACGATATGAGAGAGAGAGAGAGGAGTGAGTGTTGAGATGGCGGCTGATAGAAGAGAATGGAAGAGAAAAATTAGCTGTGCCTACCCCACCTAGTGGGATATGGTGAGGAAAAAGAGGTGAGCATGAGTTCAGCCAGGAGAGGTGAGAGGATCCGTCCTCATGAAACACAACTAATCGATTAAGTAGCCTTAAAACTTTGAAATCAAATAGATTTTCTACGCCCTCCCCCCCTTCTAAGTGAAGTTAACTAGATACGGCTTAAAAAAATAATAATCATACATGTCTATAAAAACCTTAGAACCGAATGCGTGTGAAATTTGATGGCCNGGACTAACAATAAGCAGAAGCCTAATGAAGATTATTAATAAAAACGATTATGACATCAATCACAGTAGTAGCGGCATGGACGTGTTATTTATATAATAATTTTGAATTATTAATTATTAAAAATGTTTCCGTGAACTCTTCTTCACACCAAGTGAACTGTAAACGCATAGGCTGATTAACAACAGCAAAAATATGCCAACGTGTATGCTGAGACATTAATCCTGATTTAATAATGTTTATTATTAAGAAATGGCTTTAAGAGACGGTATTCCAACACGTAATCTATCCCGTAGCCTCAACATACGCTTGTACATTTGTAACTTGTTCGTTTCGAATGAAGTTTTATTTTCTTTTTCCTGTAAAAGAAAATTAGAAATATAGAACTATGTATGCAATTCCTAATTTGTACCAACTTACTAATGTTAAAAAAGTTTATTCTTAATATTATTATTTATGAAAAGGCAGATATTAGGAATAATAATTACCGGTTTATTTAAATTTCTAGCTGTTTTGCAAATGAGTATGGAGCATTCAGTATGGCTTGCAGCACATTAGCAAGGGCATGGGCATTGCAAAGGCACTGCTTATCTAACTAAATATTGGTTGTGCCTAAAGTTTTCACATACAATTTTTACCAATAGCCAGATCCAACCTCAATACTTACATAAGGAAAGAAATCTATTTCCAACAACAGAATCTCAAAGAATGTTGCAGCCACAATAACTGGTCCAGACTTTCTTTCACACACATCCAATTGCACAGCAAACTTTCCGTCTGGTAACTCTGATAGTTTCTCGAATATCGGCTTTGTAGCCTTCTTTTGACTGGACAACCGGTATAACAAGATTTCTCCAGCCCTTGTACCAATCAAAACAAAGTCCCCATAAAAGAATAGGGCAGTGATAGGTGGAAAATCCAAATATAAATGTCGATATTTGTCAGTTTCAATCTTGAATAAATTTCTTGAGTAACATACAAAGTTTTTATCATTAATTGGACATATATGTTTTATTTGTTTTATCCATTCCGGGGGGCAGTTTAAAGGTCTCACATTGACAGTGAGATCTTTAGATATGTTTACTATTTTACCGCAGTCTGTAAATACGTGAATTGTACAATCACTGTACTGCAATGCTTTGATATCATAATTACAGTGCAAAATCAATCTCGATGATAAATTATGGAAACTTAAATCACATTTATATATGTCCCGGTTATTGTAGAAATACAGTTCCTCTCCGTGTAGTACGAAATCATCAGCATAGAAGAACGCTTCAGACATATTTTCTTGATTTTCAACAGTTTTCTGAACAAAGATACCGGACTTCACTAATACAACACTGACATGGTCATTGTTTGCTATTTTAAGGCAGTTCCTTTCTGGAACCGCAACAGGTATATACTTTAAGTTATTCATATCGTACAGCACCACTCCTCTAGTGTCTTTTAGGGGTAGTACTCCATAATCAATGGCTAGGGCATGCGATTTATCATTCAAACTGAATTTGTAGAATTCACGAATATTTATCTCGTACGACATAACATTCGACCAAGTTTTAATATTTTTGTATAAGTGATACCATCTCGTGTCATTTCCGCAACGTTTTCTGGCGATCCTCGAGGGATACTTGTATTCTTTTGTGCAAATTTTTTCCCAAAGCAAATCCACATCGTCTATAATTTCTTTCCATTTTTTACACACTCTCCGACACTTACCTAGGGTCGTGCCATCAGTTTTAACTAGTATTTCTACGAGAGTCTCAACTGGTAGACAGTGTATATCAGTCATTTCTTTTAATAAAAGCTCAAGTATGAGTCTCAGTGAATAGCTTTTAAACTAGAAGCTAGAAAACGGTAACATATTTTCACAATTATATTTTGTAACGTACAATTTTTATAGCACCTACTGCGTTATTAGGTAATTGATTGTTTTTTTTAAATCATATTTCAATGTTTACAAATTTATCATTTGACCGATAGACTCGTGATTTTGACGTTCATTGTCAAAATGATGGCAGTTCTGATTTAATTCGTTCTGAAACTTAATCCGAAGATTATCACTGTAACCCAGTTTTATATTTCAATGTCGTAACCATACTTTGCTAATAACTTTTCTAATTGCTAATAATCTTCAATATTGACAGCTCCTGTGAGATTTTTATACTTGATATTCTTTTCTAAAAATAAATAAGCTTTAATGATTCTGTCTAATTACTTTTCTAATTGCTAATAATCTTCACTATTGACAGCTCTTATGAGATTTTTATACTTGACTAGCTGACCCGGCAGACTGCCTCAATCGATAAATAAAAGACCTAAACTTTTGTATAAAATAAACTTAAAACATTCAAAAGGAATCCGTCCGACGGGGGACACATTAAAGAAAAAAAAATTTTTTTATGTTTATTTAATTATATGTATATTTATCTACCTTTTAAACCTTCTCTGGACTTCCACAAATAATTCAAGACCAAAATTAGCCAATTCTGTCCAGCCGTTCTCGAGATTTAGCGAGACTAACGAACAGTTCATTTTTGTTTAGATAGAAGATAGATATTCTTTTTCTAAAAATAAATAGAATTTAATGATTCTGTCTAATTACTTTCTAATTGCGAATAATCTTCAACATTGACAGATACTATGAGATTTTTATACTTGATATTCTTCTTCTAAAAATAAATAGGATTTAATGATTCTGTCTAATTACATACTTTTCTAATTGCTAATAATCTTCAATATTGAGAGCTCTTATGAGATTTTTATACATGATATTCTTTTTCTAAAAATAAATAAGATTTAATGAATCTGTCTAATTATTTTTCCAATTGCGAATAATCTTCAACATTGACAGCTCTTATGAGATTTTTATACTTGATATTCTTTTTCTAAAAATAAATAAGATTTAAAGATTCTGTCTAATTACTTTTCCAATTGCGAATAATCTTCAACATTGACAGCTACTATGAACTTTTTATACTTGATATTCTTTTTCTAAAACTGAATAGGATTTAATTATTCTGTCTAATTACTTTTCTAATTGGTAATAATCTTCAATATTGACAGCTATTATGAGTTAACTAAAATTAGAGGGAAGATGCAAGCCTCAAGAGACCGCACTGTAGTCTCGAACCATTCCGATCGCGTGCTCTATGTATCACAATTATCTGTAACCAGTGTGCTTAGAGCGAGATTTTTAACGTTCTCGATAGCGTAAAAGTTAGCCCAATTTTGTATGCAGTTGGAAAAGCGCCCCTAGCGGCAAACGTACGCAAACGATCCGATTCCATACAAATATGAGCTAACTTTTACGCTCTCGAGAACGTTAAAAAAACTCGCACTAAGCACACTGATGGTGTGTCGAGTGTGTGGCATCATGAGCTACCTTCTCACTATCAAGAAACGCCGCTACCCTAAACTTTGTATCCCTTCAAATTCTAGTATGTTTTTGATGTTTTTTTTTATTGCTTAGATGGGTGGACGACACCTGGTGTTAAGTGGTTACTGGAGCCCATAGACATCTACAATGTGAATGTGCCACCCACCTTGAGATATAAGTTCTAAGGTCTCAAGTATAGTAACGACGGCTGCCCCACCCTTCAAACCGAAACGCATTACTGCTTCACGGCAAGGTGGTGGTACGTAGGTACCGCGCGGACTCACAAGAGGTCCTACCACCAGTGATTACGCAAATTATAATTTTGCGGGTTTGATTTTTATTGCACGATGTTATTCCTTTATCGTGGAAGTCAATCGTGAACATTTGTTAAGTACGTATTTCATTAGAAAAATTGGTACCCGCCTGCGGGATTCGAACATCGGTGCATCGCTACATACGAATGCACCGGACGTCTTATCCTTTAGGCCACGACGACTTCACAAAAGACACTTTCATTCGTTTGTACCTGTGTTATTGTTTGAAAGGTTAAATTCTGACTTTCGACATTAAGATTCCGTGTCCTCTCTTCCATCGCCGACATAAAGGCTTAATAAGGCGTATTATGTGTGACAAGAACAAAAAAAACAACAGACAATAAACCCATCAAACAATATTTATTTCATTACAACATTTAGATTACACAATTAATATAATTGAATTAACAAGAATAGGAATCATCATACAGAAATGGTACTGATCATTCATAGAAAAAAATAAAACGTCTCTCTTGGATCAAAATAAAGATGACCCGCAAAATTATTGTAACTTCTCCATCATGTATGATCTCATTTCTTTAGGTTTTAGTATGTCTTTTAACAAATCACATGAAATAAATAAATCAAGAAAAAACGAAATTTCTGATTCACAAGTCAGTGTAATAAAATTAGCGGGAAAAAAACTGTTGCATCAACAATTTTAAATTAGTTAGTTTTATGTCATAAATATGCGTCAATTCACTACACAGCAAAATTTTATTTCCCTATGTTGGTATGTTTGACTATGTAGAACTGGCCTCAAAATATATAAACTTTAACTTACGTCATCTGCAAAATTACACATAACCCCACTTAATTTCAATACAACCATTACAATGTCGATAATAAATAAAACCCCAAAAAAAAAACATACATTAACATTCACTCAATCAATTTGGAAGCATTAATTTCAGTCGGCAAGTAATCGCAAAAATTTTAAGTACCTACTTAGAAAACGAATTAAATATTTTTCTAAATTTCTGCAGGCGATTGAAAGAGTAAAGGAAATAATTTGAGAAACAGTGGAGAAAATGGCACTTAAATGTTCGTTTAAACAAATAAATAGGTATGCAAAAACAAAACATTTAAGTGCCATTTTCTCCACTGTTTCTCAAATTATTTCCTTTCTTTTAGTAGCTAATATGTACTACTAAAACTACTTTTACGGTTTTATAGTATTTCAGACGATTATTTTATAAGTTTTCGTGGTCACGAAAGACTTATACGGTCGGAAATAATATGATGACAGTAAAAAAAAACGCAAGGTTGTGCCGTAAAAGTATTGGTGGTAGTAAGGTCGCTACCGTTCAATAATTATTTTTATAATCAGGTAATCGCGATTATTTGTCACAATAAAAGAAAAACACGTAAAATAAACGAACAACGTAAAATGTAACTATAAAAGTATAAAAATGCAAAAAAAATAAAAATGAGATTGAATAAAAATGATTTTCGTTTGATCAAAATATTTGGTGTTTATGTCTATTCGTGATCGGATACAGTTAAAAATGACACATGTAGACATCTCAGACTGGATAAATTCAAATGGAGGCCCAAGTGAGGATATGTCAGTCTCAAAGCGACATCTGGTGGTCACCGATTAGCTCAATAAAACCTACATATAAATGTATTAATTAATACATATTACAATTATAAAGTTCATCCATGATTGCAGTTTATAAATTATTAGAAATACGTAAAACCTAATCTAGCCCATTGAATAATGTTGCCAAGTTTTACTAAAAAATTGCCTGAAACTGTTACCAGCTATTTTATTTCAAAATGTTATCAAGAGACGATTATTTACGCAAAAAAATTACAACAATTTTTTTAGACGCGATTACTAAGTCACGAACAAATTTTACTTTCACAGTGACAAGAAAAAGATTTGGTCATTTCTTTTTTATAAATATTAAACTGGTTGTTTTACGAATGATTTTATGCATTTGACAAATCGATAAAAATGCCCCATTTTTCTATATAGTTGTACAATTACGTCACACCCTCAGTGACGTCATAAGCCGCAATGTCTTTTTGTTCTATGACAAGGTAGTTTGTAAGTTTTTTTTCTGACTGAATTTATGAATATCAAATTTAGATTTCCGAGATCAATTACAACGATTTATATATGTTCCTTATAGCTAGAGGTGTAAGGTATCAATTTCAATATTTTAAGTTTTAAAAAAAGTTATTTTTCACATAGATACTTATAATCTAGACTCAAGGATCAAGTCTGAGAGAATGTCGAGTTAGAAAAAAACCTACATACGAATCTATTTAAGGGTATTTTACTGAAATGTAATATGTAATATCAAGCAACATTGAATTCACTTTTTGCATCACAAATTCTTTTTCTTATCAAAGGAGTAAATTGAAAATGAGCTTATAACGAATAAAACTTACATTTTGCATGTAAAAAAAAGAGTAACAGGGAGTAGTTAGTAACTTATCAACACCGTAACAATTATCACATTGAAGTATAGCTGAAAATTCACTTATCGCTTACGACTTAACATATAAGAATTTTACTAATCAATTTCACTTATCAACTACGTGCTTCGTTTAAAATCGACGAGGCGACTAGCATCGTAAAGCTCCCTATGAGGTACAAAGCTGCGGGTATCGACGATAGGAGCTTATACCTTTCCTCTGTAAAGAAAATACGAATTATCATTGTCAAGTTTTGTCTAACCAAAAAAAATCATGAAAATTATGAATCGACTTATCCATTACGCTTCCTTCAAATAGCAGTATTGGTTAATGTATCTATAAAATATGTCTTTTTTATTGCTTTGATGGGTGGACGAGCTCACAGCCCACCTGGTGTTAAGTGGTTACTGGAGCCCATAGACATGTACAACATAAATGCGCCACCCACCTTGAGATATAAGTTCTAAGGTCTCAGTATAGTAACAACGGCTACCCCACCCTTCGAACCGAAACGCATTACTGCTTCACGGCAGAAATAGGCGGGGTGGTGGTACCTACGCGTACGAGCTCACAAGAGGTCCTACCACCAGTTACAAATTAAAATCGAAGCTTGAAAAATAATGCGTGCTATATTATTGTGTCTACATAACTATTGTCTATATGTGTTGTCTATATAGATGTCCGCTTCCATAATTCGTATTTAATTAATTCGTATTAGAATTTAGTGTTTAAATTCTCGTCTCTCGTATGAATTTTATTTTTTCTGGTTTTGCTCAACAATAAACAAATATTTCAACGAAATTATTGTATTTTAAAGACAAATTGCAGACAAACACATCTCGTTGATACTGAGAGCAAGTATTTCTAAATACGTAAACAAATTGCATCTTATTATTATTATTATGGTGATATTTTACTACAACTACGGGCATTAGTAATTATATTACTACAGTGTGCTTAGTGTGAATTTTTTAACGTTACCGATAGCGTAAAAGTTAATTTACATTTGTATGGAGTTGGAACGTTTGCCTACGTTTGCCGCTAGGGGCGCTGTTCCAACTGCTTACAAATTTGAGTTAACTTTTACGCTATCGAGAACGTTAAAAAACTCGCACTAATCACACTGATATTTTCAACCTCATTAAACTAGTCTTTATTTAAAGAGTACGCCTCGGATTAATTCTCACTTAAAATCCAAACAATGAAGGAATTAACAAAGATTCGTGACTAGAAAACTTTAGTCTTTTAAAAATTATGAAGATTGATATGGTTTTTGGAACGAAGTTCCTTATGGGACGATGCGGAGGGGTACCCTAACCGGGAAAAAACGTCCGTAACGTAAGATTTTTATTATTTATGTATAGTCTTAGTATATTGGCTATACAGTGTCTAATGTATAGTCTACGCGATGACGGTTATTAATCATATAAATATGTGTTTCTTTGTATATTATTATTATATATTTTTTAATAAATCATTATGAATAAAATACAGTTGATAACTTTGTAAAGTACTTTTTTTTATCAATAAAAAAACATAATAAAAAATATATATGTACCCGAATAATTATTTTCTTTATATCTCGAATAGAACTTAAAATTAATATTTTTATAATAAGGAACTTCGTTCCTATCCGGTGTCCCGCGACACCACTCATCTTTTTTGTATTTGTAATCAGAGTGAGAATACACTACGCTATTGTAGAACTGATCCGATGATTATAGAATGTGGGTGAATAATTAATTAAGCACATCAAGGATCTCATTAGTTTTGTCCTGTGATGTACATTGTAAAATCATCTACATACATCTAACAAGTACAAAGTTGAAATTTCACAAAATATGTTTAGTGACATATCGTCCCAATGAATTATCACATCTTTAAATTTAATTTTAATTTTATACTATGTTTCAGTATGTGTTGTTAATTTGTCTATTGTTTTGTAAATGAGTCTACGAGTGTTTTCGTGTCTTTTTTATTTATTTCTGACTTTTCAAATTTGCGTTCACGCTTTGTTTGTGAATTGTTTTAAAATTATACAAAACATTATGATTCAATTCAATTCCATTTACCACTTGATAGACGCAATCGTTCGTATTCAGAGGGATACAGGGAGCGAAGTGTTAAAATAGACGCCAATTCTCATTCCAAAACTGCTAAGTAGATACGCATGCTTTATCCATGCAAACATTCACAACCAATTACACTGGTCTTTATATATTTAATGACTCATGCAACGCATGCCAGGAGAAAAAAAAATAGGCCTGATTCAAGATAAATAACCATTTTATTCGACAAACATACTACCAGTCTTATTTTAATGTTAGTAAAGTTGAAAATACATTCTTAAGGAGAGAATTAGAAAAAAATAAATAGTTACAACAGAAATATATCAAGGAAAAGCAATGTCAAAGAAAAAAAAGTAGAATACATTACAACAAAATATGTAGACAATTATTTCAAAATACATTATATAGACAGTAAATTAACAATTCATGTATGTATTTATTTGCAAAACAAAATACATTTAGGATACTTAGCTTTTTTAACATAATCTTATTTAAAATAAATTATGCTTTAGTTATAAAAAAATAGTACAATCCTTAACAAAAATACTTAATTTGATGTTGTTGTCTTTTTCTTTTTAAACAAGCAATGTATGACCGAATCCCATGTGATTAGTGATGACAAGCTTAATACTAGTAAATTAAATCTGAATTAGAATTCTCAATTTCTTGTTCTTTATTTTTATTCCCTTAAAAACGTTTTAAGCTTAAATACGCAGTCCTTCTATAATCTGCACGTAATTTCCCTAAAAAAAATGTGGTCGTATGCAGCACGCAATGGAACAACATATATCTTAACCTTTCCATCTTAAGCGATTGTTTGCAATTCGATTGGTTCTTTCGAAAAACAAAACACTAACGAACCGAGCATCAATAGCATTTCGTTCAAAAGTTATCAACACTCAAAATTATTTATCTATTGAATACACGCAATACTTTTTATTGTTTACAAAAAAAAAAAAAAAACAAAAAAGTGAAATTCGTTAATTTATTTTTGACTTTCATATTCGCTTATTAGAATGTAAATTCATTAAAGCTAATCAAGGTGTGGCAGAAATAAAATACTGGGATAATAAATATATAAATAACTGGGAACAAATCACGCACGGTCATCCGGTTCCGAATTAGGATTCCCTGTATTTTTGATACCTGAGGCTGACATATGTATATGTAGATATATCGTGCTCCAGTAACCAGTTAACACCAGGTGCGCTGTGAGCTCGTACACTAATAAGCAATAAAAGAAAAATAAAAAAAATGTACATACGTTCAAATTATATACATATATGCATAGTAGACACCCAGACAAAGAGCAAACAAACCTGTTCAACACACAATGTTTGCCCGACGCGGGATTCGAACCCACGACCCTCGGCACAACAGTCAGACCCGCTAACTATTGCACCACCGAGTCAGTCAAGTATTTCAAACACTTCGTTCATTAAACCAAACTGGCACGCGGATCCGGGTATAAGGAAATAAACCCTCGACCGATAATTACATTTGAAGGTAATATCTAATTCGATCAATTTCGATGCCCAAGAAAACTTTAATTTTTTTGTTTTTGTCAGACTTTGGGGCGTTTTCATCAGAGCAGGTAGTGGGGGAAGAGGTCGACCGAAGAAGACATGGATGGAGTGTGTGAATGACGATATGAGAGAGAGAGAGAGGAGTGTTGAGATGGCGGCTGATAGAAGAGAATGGAAGAGAAAAATTAGCTGTGCCTACCCCACCTAGTGGGATATGGTGAGGAAAAAGAAGAAGAGGTGAGCACGAGCTCAGCCAAGAAGGATGAGAGGATCCGTCCTCATGAAACACAAATAATCGATTAAGTAGCCTTAAAACTTTGAAATCAAATAGATTTTCTACGCCCTCCCCCCCTTCTAAGTGAAGTTAACTAGATACGGCTTAAAAAAATAATAATCATACATGTCTATAAAAACCTTAGAACCGAATGCGTGTGAAATTTGATGGCCAATGTCAAAAGACCTTATATCTCTATTGCCAATACTAACGAGCCCGGGTCACGTAAGAATGGTCGCCAGATAGAGATGCTGAAGTGCATTATTGTCATAATAATATTTATTACTGGTATCAAATTTAAGTTCATATTCGAGAACTCAAGCTAAAATAAAAATAAAAATTGTCTTTTTTACATAACACGTCTTTAACTAATCGACTTTAAATATAAATTTGTCTTTTAAAACGATTTTAATATAATACTATGCGCGAATAATCGATATACCTATTAAGGTAAATATTAACGTATATTATACTAGATAGACTATTTTTACAATATCGATATTGATATCGATTAATAACGAAGGGTAAATTGAAATTCGCAAGTAAAAATACTGATTAGAAACGCAGTGGCATGCGTTTAATTTGAAGGCAGTATTATAAATTTTACCGACTTCAAAAAAAAAAGAGTAGCTTCTCATTTTTTATGTGTTAGCCTCAGAACTTTTGTCGAGGTGAACCGATTTTGACGATTTTTTATTCGAAAGCCGGTACATCCTCATGTGGTCTCCATTTCAATCGATTCCATTTTAATAATACATTTTTAATGACTTCAAATACTTTGATGATATTCGATTTTTATTTCGTTGAAATCGATTTTCTTTTTGGTAATTTTTTTTGTGTTATAGGTGTATATAACAGTTTCTTGTGTATATATATACATATTTAATTATGTGGCAAACTGGCGTTAAGCGAACATCTGCAAATAGCTCTTATAGTATATGCTCAGTTTTTTGACTGGACATCAAATTGATGAGCTATACTCGATTTAAAAAAGTATTCTCAATCGCAAGCCACTGCAATAGCGCATCCTTATTAAATTTAGTAAAATTTATTAATACTCTCACGGGATAAAAATGTAATATACATTCAAAAAATAGTATTTGTTTTTAGTCTTTTTTAAAAATACTGTAACGAAACCGATACGATTAACGAATAATCGATTTAAAAAAAACAATAACTAGATCTCACGTCATCGATATATCGGTGAATTTATTGCATATTTTTTTCAAAATTGTCGACGGCTCCCCGGTTTTATTGCTGGCCGTCGAATCTCTAACGTTCGCATTCGATACTAAAACGTTTTCGCCTTTATGAGGTTCGACTAGAATAGGGTTGTCGTCACTATCGAATATGATTTCCGGATCGTTTTCGATTATCTCCTCTATAGTTTTCCAATCGGTCATTATCCTGCGGCGCGTGTCGCAACACCGGCACATGCCGTAATCGCACTCCTTCTTACCCATAAAATACTCGGCGTCATCCAAAATCGTCCGATCGACTTTAACGTTCTCAACGGGAACCTCAATAGGATAATCGCGGGCCGAATACCGTAGTAAATNTATGATTTCCGGATCGTTTTCGATTATCTCCTCTATAGTTTTCCAATCGGTCATTATCCTGCGGCGCGTGTCGCAACACCGGCACATGCCGTAATCGCACTCCTTCTTACCCATAAAATACTCGGCGTCATCCAAAATCGTCCGATCGACTTTAACGTTCTCAACGGGAACCTCAATAGGATAATCGCGGGCCGAATACCGTAGTAAATCGTCGACGTACGCATTAACGCCCTCGTCTAGAATCGCCGTCTCGATACCTAAATCGATTTTACCGTTGTGGTCCTGCGAGTTGTTACGACTATCGATAGACGAAATCGATTCGAGACTCTTTTGGGACGCAACTATGCTCTTTCGTTTCGCCTGACCTGTCATTGTGATCGACTTCTTCGTGGTCGCCCATCCGAGGGAGCGCTGGACGGCCATCTTCCATTTCGTGTATCTGGCATCGCGATCTGTAATAACAATAATAATAATAAGATATTAATAATTTATTATTAATAAGATTTTAAATAAATATAAAATATTACTGGTGGTAGGACCTCTTGCGAGTCCGCATGGATAGGCACCACCGCCCTGCCTGTTTCTGCCGTGAAGCTGTAACGCGTTTCGGTTTGAAGGGTGGGGCAGCCGTTGTAACTATACTGAGACCTTACAACTTATATCTCAAGGTGGGTGGCGCATTTACGTTGTAGATGTCTATGGGCTCCAGTAACCACTTAACACCAGGTGGGCTATGAGCTCGTCCACCTATCTAAGCAATAAATAAATAGATTATAGAGAAAGAGAGAGAGAATAGATTTTATTTGCACAACAAAACAATAAAAAAACAGTCAAAAAGCAGATACGTTCGTACACTAGGTCTTATCCCTAAAAGCGATGTCTTCCAAGCAACCGTTTAATTTACAGAAAATCTGGAAAATATAGCAGGTATGTTGCGGTGTACTATAGACAATGCATTATTGTAGAAAATAAATATTATATATAGATTATATTAGACATATTATAGATTATAATAATAACAACATTTATTTGTTTCTCTCTTAAAGGTAATGGAAATTAACATTAAAAATTATTTTGTTAGCCCTTAAAAAAGCTGAAGTCTGTACTAGATTCAAAAACCTGTATTAATGATATCCAGGGTGCCTGCTTCTTAGGATAGATTCAGTTAGGTTATGTCGTAAGCAGATGTCGCAGGCTAGTGGCGAAAGATCATTAGGTGTTATCATTTCATTAGGACATTATGTGAAGTGTTTTTTTAATTTTTTAATTTAGACAGACCAGAGCAGTGGAGCTCACGCCGCGTTTTTTTTTTTTATTGCTTATATGGGTGGACGAGCTCACAGCTCACCTGGTGTTAAGTGGTTACTGGAGCCCATAGACATCCACAACGTAAATACGTCACCCACCTTGAGATATAAGTTCTAAGGTCTCAAGTTTAGTTACAACGGCTGCCCCACCCTTCAAATCGAAACGCATTACTGTTACACGGCAGAAATAAGCGGTGGTGGTGGTGCCCACCCGCGCGGACTCACAAGAGGTCCTACCACCAGTAAACGAATTCCGTGAATAATTTTAATTTCGAAATTCGTCTTCGAAGTGGTTGTAAGTTAAGAGTGCACAACGAATGAATACAATATTAATCTGTCGAGCCGGAGGGTAGTATTAGTATGGCAAGACTTTTTGGCGGGAACGCGAGGAGTGAAGTTGTGTCATTAGTTTTATTTTGTCTATTTAGTGTTTCTTCAGGTTTAAATGTGTAATAACGCTGGTTTATTAACTGTTTAATATCTGTGAAAGTGCACAAATGTGGGAAAATGAAAGAAAGCGTAACTTCTCGGGAAACCTCCAAAAAGTCCACTGAAAAAATCTTAGTAAAATAAACCAGCATTTTACTGAGATTATATTTCATCCCAGTTGATTAATGTCTCAAATTAATCATCTTCATTTCATTTCACTCCGTATTATCATTTTTCATAAAAATAAGAATATAAATTAAAATAAGACATGACTTAAAGATCCTAGTTACCAGGCCATAAAATCCCTTTAAAAAAAATATTAGTATCTCTAATGTCTGACACGGCAATGTAACGCTAAAACTGATGTCGCAGGAGGTCATTGACCCTGCGTCACAAAATCATTGAAATTTTATTATTGATTGCGGTTTTTTTTTTAACGTCAATAATCCACTAGCCGGGCAATCAATTTACACTCGACATATTTATTTATTGAGTGTTCGTCCGATGTACGATATTCGACCTTGACTATTAACACTCAGGGTTTACATTCATTTAACGTATTAGATATTTAGTCTTTTATTGAATTTCCCGACAAATAAATAAAAGAAGAAAATTGTACTTTACTGTTACATCTTATCCTACTTATATACATATAAATACTGTAAATATAATCTAAGTTTCGATATAAAAACAAATTGAAAAAACCGTGATTATTCTCATACCATCATCGGTCGTGGTCGGCAGGAAGGTGTCGGCGTGGGTGGCGTGATGCTTCCACTTGTCGCAGCTCCACACGCCCACCGAGTGGCCCGCCACGATGCCCACGCCCAGAGCGGACATGTCCCACGACTGGGCGCGCACTAGACAACACAAACAAACACAACTTAGTTATGATAAAATGAGAATATCTATACATATAAATAAAATTGGAGTGTCTATTTGTTATATTGATATAACCGCTTTTTACTACATGCATATGAATATATACGGTACATACACTAAAATAACATTTTTTACAATTTTTGTCTGTCTGTCTGTCCGTCTGTTTGTTCCGGCTAATCTCTGGAACGGCTGGACCGATTTTGACGAGACTTTCACTAATAGGTAGCTGATGATATAAGGAGTAACTTAGGCTACTTTTTTTGGACTAGCTTCGCCCCGCGGCGTCACCCGCGGTACGACAATAAACGCGAGTAGGTAACATCGCGGGACTCAGCTTTCAATAATAAAATTTAATGTTTCTGAAGCGAAGCGAGGGCGGGTCGCTTGAGAATATAATCAGTATAGGCGAAGTCAATTATGCATTATTGAGGGTACCTCGAAAAATTACAAGTCAGAACTAAATAAAGAGATACAATTTAAATGGGACCACATGAGACGCGCCAACTTTCAAACAAACAAAATCGGTATATTTTTCATTTGTTTTTTTAATATGTATTTTTTTATTGCTTAGATGGATAGACGAGCTCACAGCCCACCTGGTGTGAAGTTGTTACCGGAGCCCATAGACATCTACGACGTAAATGCGCCACCCACCTTGAGATATAAGTTCTAAGGTCTCGGTATAGTTACAACGGCTGCCCCACCCTTCAAACCGAAACGCAGTACTGCTTCACGGCAGAAATACGCAAGGTGGTGGTACCTACCCGCGCGGACTCATAAGAGGTCCTACCACCAGTAATAATTACGAAAATAAAAATTTTGCGAGTTTGATTTTTATTACACGATGTTATTCCTTCATTCATCAAGGAATGATTGAATACAGCAGAGATGCGAATGTTGCGATGGATGCGTGGAGTAACGAGAATGGATAGAATACGGCATGAATATGTTAGAGGAAGTCTGAAAGTGGCACCTGTGACAGAGAAGCTGAGAAGTGCGCGCTTGGGATGGTATGGACATGTGTTGAGACAAAATGAAAATGAGGTTGATAAGAAAGTGTTAACTATGAATGTGGAAGGATATAGAGGAAGAGGTAGACCTAAGAAGAAATGGATGGATTGCGTGAAAGATGATATGGGTAAGAGGGGAGTGAGCGTCGAAATGGTATATGATAGAGGAGTATGGAAGGAGAAAACATGTTGCGCCGACCCCAGGTGACTGGGAGAAGGGCAGGACAATGATGATATTATTCCTTCATGGCGGAAGTCGGATACTCACAAACCGGTATACCGGTGAGGTCCGCCTGTAGCTGCATCAGCAGATCGTTCGAGGACATCTTCCCGTCCACGTGGAGCTTCGACAGGGGCATCCCGCAGTCCTTGTTCATCGCTTCCAGGATGTCCCTGTAACGTGACGAGACATTAACCGACCGAGCTGGCGACTCTCGCCTGGTAGTCGACCTCAACAGGACTGATCATTCATCATCATTATCCTGCCCTTCTCCCAATCACCTGGGGTCGGCGTAACATGTTTTCTCTTTCCATACTCCTGTTATTTTTTCTCGCTCTTTGTTCCCCCTACCTATTCTGATAGCCTTGAGAGGCTATTTCAGCTTCGCCCTAACGTGTAAGTGAGCTCACGGGGCTCAAACCGGAGTGGCCCAAGCAAGAGCTTCTTCGCTCAGTCCCCTCTTACACATATCGTCTTTCTATCATTCCTTCTTAGGTCTACCTCTTCCTCTAAAGCCTTCCATATTCATATTTAAAGCTCTCTTACCAAGCCCCATAGTCATTTCATTCATTCATCTCTGTCACTCAGATTAAATTCATATGAGTCGACTATTATCAAAGCCGGCAATCTGACTTTTGGACAATGATTGGTAAATCAGAAAAACGAATTATTGACTTTGTATTCCATCGGCAGTCACAAAACTCTTCGGAACGACATCTTAGATAAATAACAGGTTAACTATTAACCTTTATTTAATGCAGGTTTTGAACCGTATTCTTTGAAGGAGACGATTATATTCAAATCAATCTGTATTGACATATCAATAA